CACGTGCGTGCCTGGGCAAGTTTGGTGTGCTACCAGCTAGAGATAACCTGTTGGCCCCCCAAGTCAGCATTGGCCGGACCTTGGCTGATGTTGTTGGCTGCTATGCAGCTACAATATTGGTCATTAGACATCGCCATGTGGGGTTGGGGGGGGGTAGGGGGAGGTGCAGTGACAGGCCATTGCTCGGCGCTAGGACCTTGGCTGATGTTGTTGGCTGCTATGCAGCGACAGACACTGCCATGTGGGGTTGGGGGGTGGTAGGGGGAGGTGCAGTGACTGGCCACTAGCACCGCCGATTTCCCCCATTGGCAATGCCTGCCCACCCCTCGTCGCCGTGATGAGGGACTGGTACAGCCTTGCTCTCGCACCACAGCTGTGGTGCAAACCTACCCCGTGGGCTGGGGAGAGATCCGGGTTGGTTGGTGTTCCCCCTACTATAAATGGACTAGTGAGAGGATGAGATAAATGCTACCAAGAAAGATGAAATAGATTGAGAGGATGAGATCTCCAGCCTCAGGATGTAGTGTTCCCCCGTACTATAAATAGGCTAGTGCGAGGATGAGATAGATGCGTACTACCAAGAAAGATGAAATAGATTGAGAGGATGAGATCTCCAGCCTCGGGCTGTAAGCTAAACCGGCTGATGCTGCCGGGGACCATGTCCCACAAGCTCCGTTGAGCTAGTTCAACGTGGGGTTTTCTACCCTGTGTGACTGTACGCGACAAGGGAGATTAAAAGCGTCCAATTCATCCAACGTCCATTTTTTATAAAAAGGGCAATAGATACTATCTTCGCTTTTTCTTACAAAAAAAAACAGAAATAAATACTTTCTCTCGAATACAACTACCCCTACCCTCGCCACTTTCCATTGAACTAGCTGTCTCCTTTTTTCGAGACAGCTAGTTCAACGACCCTCTTGTTCCCCCAAAAGGCGTTTTTGGAAAGAAACTGAAAGAGCCTCCTTCCCCTTGCCATTTTCGGAGGGGATTCGGGCAACTCTTCATTTTCTGCTGTGGAAGCCCCCGTATGCCACTCCAATTGTGAAAAATGAAAAACGAGAACAATTGTATTCCTGCCATTTATAAATGCATTTCTCATTTGAAATTGAATTAAAATGATTTTTTTTAGCTGTCGCACCGTTGAGCTGCCTCAACTCAACGGTGCATATGGGACATGGTCCCGGGATAACTCCGGGTTGAATTGTGAGGTCCCCGGCCTCTCTTGTTGTTTTGAATATATTAAATAGAAAAAAAAAAAAAAGAAATAGATTGAGA